TTTCAAGTGGACCTGTTTAAGATAACTTGAAATACTTATCCACAGTTCAAATAGATGCAGGTTTCATTTTAAGCATTGACTTATTTAAAAATTTCAGCTTGAATTTAGTTACATCAGAACACAGATATGATACTTGTTTAAAAAAAAAACCTCAGAGACAAACCATCTTTAATCCAACTTTTATGACATTTTGGGAATTGTTAGGAAAAGAATCAGCCATTTGTTTATCCAAGACAACAGTCTTATAGACTCAGGGCTTTTTCCCCCATTAGTTACAAAAGTAGAATATAATCGACATGAATAAAAAAATGTTTTTTTAAATAGTTAATCTAGTTATATAATTAAGAATGATTAGTTTTTGAAGATATATACTAAAAAAATAGCATATGATTTAAATAATAAATTGTTGCTGTGTGATTCATTATAAAATCATCTAGGCCAGCATACTTAATGGTTTTTTCTTTTTCTTTCCCGTTCCAAATTATTTATAGTTAGTGAAAAGGGATGTGTTTTCCTATACTTTAAATTTCCAAATAATTTTTTTTTTTAGCTCAGTCCAAAAGAAAGCATTCTTTTTACATCTGCCAAAGAAGTGATTGCTGTTAAACAGGGATTGCCAGTATTCTAAGATAAATCCAGATGTTGAAGAGAGTCCCAGTCTGCCATTGGGCTTTTGTTAAAGCAGAAACCTGTGTCTTGGATGATTTTCTTCTTAGCAGTGAAATTTGTCATAGCTTCTCTTAAGAAAAGATGGCTTTTAGATGCCATGTCATAACTGACTCTTCTCCAGTAGATTAGGAAGAGCAGGCCTGCTGCTGAATATTGGAACTGTTGGCAAGAAAATGAGAGTTCATGACTGCTAGGAGTTATTTTTGAAGCCCTAGTTGCATGGCTATTATGTCTCAAATACTGTATAATTATCCCTAGTTACTGATATCTTTAGCATATTTGAAACCATCCATATGTGGCCTAAATCCACACTGCTATATTAAGGCATTTTTAAATAGCCCAAGCAAACGACACTGTAAATTAAAACAAAATTAATGTGAGCCAAATACTGTTTTTTTAAAAAATCAATTAAGTCCACATTTCTAGGCCTCCAGTATTAATCTCTTCAGTCAGCTGATTGGTAGCAAAGTAGGGTGATTGAGAACTTAGATGATGGTTATTAAAGGGAGAGGGCAGTGTTTTCTAAGAACAAAAATGATCAAGAAGATTGATTTGCAAGATGAGAATAATCTATCCCATTATATAGACAAGGACAACCAAGGCTGGCTTTCTCTAGTGCATATTCTCTCTCTCTCTCTCTCTCTCTCACTCATTTCTCTAAGAGTATTGTTGCTTCTGCAGTTGGTAAACAAAAAAGGCATCGTATCCAGCAACATGGTGGCCTTTCCTTGTTATCAGCCTGAAGATAGAGAATTTTCTAAACATTTGTGGTTGTTTTTTTAACTGTTACAAATCCATCTTCCATGATTTTATCTTCAACTTTTTAAAGTAATTTCTTTTCACAGGCTAAACCACCTCCTGGCATTGTAAGAACCACTGGGGAAAAGTGGTTCTTTTTTGGCTCCTAAATTCTTTCCTGGTTTCTGGGGTTCCTTTGTGTGATACCCTGAGACTCTTTATGAAATAAATGCATAGGAAGGGAATCTGGCACTTCTCATGTCCTTTGGATTAATGACTGTTGAAGGTGAATTGAGACGTGTGATCTGCCCTCAACGGCAAGTATATTTCCCTTGTGTTGCAGTTCATTGTCAAAGCGGAAGTATAATTTCTTCCTGAAGCCTGAACTCGGGAGTGCCAGGACAGGACGCTGAGTATGCCAGCGCATCTGAGGAACATGAGTGATACCTGAGTTTGGGCCAGTGAAAGAACAGCTGTGCTCTGGAGCCGCAAGAGGCCAGGCCCAGTGCACTGAGCCTGGGGCGGCTTCCTGGTCTTTGAGTCTCAGTGATGGGAGCCCTCCAATGGCAAGTCAGGTCTCTTGTACTGCATTGTAACTGCGGTATCACATTTAATACTTGCCACAGCCATATGAGGCAAAGATAGGCATCCCATTTTACAGATAAGGAAACTGAGGCCTACAGTAACTTGCCTGGCATAATAAGCTAAGATTTAAGCTTAGGGTCTTCCTGATCCCAAGTCTTAACTGCTGTGTAGCACAGCTTCCAGATATAATCAGTGCCAAGCATTTTACATGTATAAACTCTTGATATTCACCATCAACCTGCAAGACAGGCAGCATGATGGTCATTTATATAGATGGAGGCACAGACAGGTACCAAGTGCTTGAAGCTGCCCAGGTGATCAAAGAGGGGACCAGACTGTGAACCCAGGTCTGCCCAGAGCTGGTGCCCTTTCCACTCGGCCATTTTCCCTCTCGTCTCCTGTGATTCTGATGTCCCTAGCCGAGGGCCTCTCATGTCCGTTCCACACCTTTTGCCTTGTGAAATTGCAGCACCTGCTAGAGAACTGTGACATCAGGGTATCTGGGAGCCCTCCCTGGGCGCTGGAGACTGGAGGACTGGCTCCAGCAAGTGGAGCTCTTGTTGAGAACTCTCCCTGGCTCCCTGCAGCCGGAGGTAGTCATCGCACAGTGCTCCTTGCCCGGAGCCGGGGAGCCGGGCAGCAGTGCCGCAGCTGTGTGGAAATCCCCCCTGAGTCCTGATCCCGAACCCTGCCGGGGGTGGCTGGTGGTTCACTGCGTTGATCCCTTCCTCCAGAGCTGGGGGTGGCCGCTTGGAAAACATTCAGCTGTTTACAATTCAGCTTATGTCCACTGTAGCTGGGGCCTGTGGGTGAGTCAGAAGGGCTGTGCGCTCCTCCTGTGTCCTAAGAGACTAGCTGAAAGTCAGCTGTATGGTAATGGCCGCAAGGGAGGAGGAGGATCCCTCCTACCAGACGTGATGCTTAAGATCCAGGAAGCCCGTCTGCTCTCGAATCCTCTTAACCCAGACTTAACAGGGTCACTCCGCAGTGACACGGAGGCCCATCTGAGGCCACCTGGCCCAGCTTCCCTGGCATTGTGCCAGCCAGCTCCCCGCAGACACAGGTGAGGACCCCGGGTGTGGGCCTCCTGTGACTCAGCAGAGCAGGCCAAAGGGATCTTCCTGTCAGAGTCCTTTTTTCTCTTCTCTGGAGAGGCTCCCAAGAGCAGAGGTGCTCTTAAGGCTTGACTGTGACAGCACCTGTGAGAAAAAGCCACAGCCTGTTGTGTGTCCTGGAGGAAAGGACTTTTTGTGTGTCTGACATCTCAGTCCTTAGCAGAATTGCACAAGCTACAAACATTTGACCTTGGTGCCTCTTACCTTCTGGGTTCTCAGGGGAATCCAGGGTGGGAAGCAAACTACCATTTCCCCACCTCTAAGAGCTCCTTTTGTGCATGGTTTAGTGGGTGGTGTTATTGTTTACTTGCTAAGTCACATCCGACTCTTTGTGACTCCCAAGGATTGTCACCTGTCACGCTCTTCTGTCTATGGGATTCTCCAGGCAAGAGTACTAGAGTGGGTTGCCATTTTCTTCTCCAGGGATCTTCCCAATCCAGGGATCAAACTGGGTCTCCTGCATTGGCAGGTGGTTTTCTTTGCCCCTGAGCCACCAGGGAAGCCCATTTTAGAATGTAGTCTCTTTATTTAGGTGGCACACACACTTGCCTTCATTCTGAAGTGTCGACTTAATTATGCACCCTTTTTCTTCTCTGGAAAATTAAGATGTTAGACCCAGGACCCTCCTGTCTCCAGTCCACAGAGGACTAGTGCCCGTGATCTAAAATATCTACTCTTCACCCCCCATGCCTCTCCCCAGACCTTCTGTCCCTAAATGGGGAGGAAAGCTCTCTGCTTCTCTAAATGATTCACAGCCAGGTGGGAATGACTGCAAGTGTATATTTGCATTTTAAAGCAGGTTGTTAACCAAATGAATCTCTTTAGTTGAGCCACCATTCCTCTTTCCCTCTCTCTTCCCCCTCCCCCTCCCCCCATCAACAAATTGGTACTTAATGAGATTTTGTACTTCCCTCACTTTCGGCGGCACTAATGTCTTTAGGGGCCCAACTATGATGAGATTGTAAACGGTGGCCGCAGCCTTTCCTGAGGGCTCACTGGGCCCTCCGCTTGCCGCCCCATGTTCGCGCCAGGGGTGCCTGCTCTGCATCAGCTGCTGTCCGCCTGGGATGTGGCTTCCCTGGGTGTCCCTCTGCAGGTCTCCGCTCAGGGTCTCTCTAGAGCAGGCAGTTGTTTAGGAGCCCTGCTGTCACCCCTCCTGCCCATGGGACTGGCCTGCCAAGCTGAGGCCCAGCGAGCAGGACTTCACAGCCAGGGGCCTGGAGAGGACGCTCTGTGTTGTGTAAGCGACCTTGTTTTGCCATTTGTCTGCAGCAGAATTTGCTGCAGGCAAATGATCCGTATTATCACCTACTCTGCCTCCTTGAATCCTCTGTTCACTTCATTAGCTTTGTCTTACTCATGCTGCTGCCAGGCTCTGGTAGTTAGAAGTCTTGTAAATTAAAATACTCTTTCTCCTCATGTCTGTAGAAAGTGGAAGTGGCCACTGGCCGAGCTGAGGGGTGGAGGGATAGGCCCTGCTTGCTTTTCATCTCCTCTGAAGTCAGGTCTTCAAGGCTGCTTATTTTCGGGGCAAATAGAAAGACTTGGTCAGGTCATCTGAAACCCACAATAAATGTTAGTACTGAACCATATTTTAGTGTAACTGATGATTTTTGCCGTATCTGTGCTTATAAAGCGCACCATCTGCTGCTGCTAAGTCGCTTCAGTCGTGTCCGACTCTGTGCGACCCCATAGACAGCAGCCCACCAGGCTCCACTGTCCCTGGGATTCTCCAGGCAAGAACACTGGAGTGGATTGCCATTTCCTTCTCTGATGCATGAAAGTGAAAAGTGAAAGTGAATTCACTCAGTCGTGTCTGACTCTTCACGACTCCATGGACTGCAGCCTACCAGACTCCTCCGTCCATGGGATTTTCCAGGCAAGAGTACTGGAGTGAGGTGCCATTGCCTTCTCCAAAACAGCACCATAACTGGTTCCAAAGTGGCCCAGATGGAGCCTAGCTAGGGCCAGCCCAACCTCTGTCCTCGCAGGCAGAAGAGCTCAGCCTCTCTGGATACCTACCTCCTGGCCCTGGGGGCAAGGCTGTTTCTATAGGTGCCTCTGGCCTCTTGCTTCTGGAGGTCATCATGCCTTTCCAAATGCCTGGAGCCAGCATCAGTGTTTCAAAGCAGACCAAGGAGCCCAGAGCTGCAGTCTTTGGAGCCGATTTAATGCTAAATTTCCCATCCACTGAGGAAATCCCCGTTCTAACAAGAAGAAATGGACTGAGAAGTAGCTCTTATTCTTCTTCAGAGCCAGATAGCCAGAAATGCCATTCTTGTAGGCAGGCACCAGCCACCTGCTGTGTCTCAGTCTTACCACCTCAGAAAGTGACTTGCCAATCTCAACTGGTGACGGGTTGCTGCTGGAAGACTAGGGAGAACAGTACTCTGGTCAGCCGTGAAGACGGAGACCATAGTTCCCACACACTCTGGTTCAACACCTATTAAATGGCTGTCATGTGTTGGTCACTGGGTTAGCCCTGAGGATACAGACAAGACCCGAACAGCCCTGCCTAAATAGGGCCCCTGCTTTGCCTAGCAGGGAAGACTGGCCCTGAGCAAGTAATTTCACAAATGGGGCCCAGGGAGTGGGGAGGGGATTCGCCCTTCCTGTTTTAATCCAGTCCCTATAAGGACTGTTTCTGCCAGAGCCTGAGAGCAGATTGAGATGCAGCCTACAGGTTGAGGCCTGTGTTATGTAACGACGCCCCCAGAACATGTTGCTTTGTTCATTCTCATCGGAATACTTGGCCCTTTGTGGTCAGCTTCAATTAAATGCTAGATTCTACCTCTCCCTTCCCCCGCCCCCACTGGAGCTTGCTTTTATTTCTTTCCTGCAGCTTCTTCTCAGGGTATCCTGGCCTCCGCCTTGCAGATCCAGGTACCTCACTCTGTATAAAGGCATTTGAGACCTGTGGGAATCCCAGCAGCACTTACAGCCTCAGACCAGTCAAGGGAACTGAGTAAGGAAGAATTCCAAAGATAGAGGACTTCTTTGTCTCTTTCTCATCTGGCCTCAGGGCCAGCAGGGCAGGTTGTTGCACGTTTAAGCTGCTTTCCCCTAAGCAGGCCGCAGGGCAGTCTGGGAGAACGGGAAGCAGATTAAATTAATCTCAATGTGCTGAGCTTGGCAGGGGGTGAGATCGTGTATGGTCATTCTAGAAATAGCCCAAACTCCTTTGTTGCTAAAGCAGATGATGAAGGTTTGCCTGCAAGATGACTGCAAAACAGAATCGTTGCAAACCTCTGTACAAGTTGTAAAGCACTTTCCTGCCCGTCCCTGGGACTCTGTCTCTCCTGCAACTAGCCAGAGTCATAACAGAGAGTGGTTGTTCTAAGGATGTAGTGAAAACGCTTATTAGTTTGTTCTCTTGCTTAACAAGATCCTTTTTTTTAGAACTTAGATTCAAAACAAGTCTTTTTCCTCCCAGAGTTAAGCGTTGGCCCTGTAGCCCCCGGGCTGGTTAATGTCTCTGTTTGCTCCTATATTTGGCATGAGGAAAGAATCTGCCCTCAGGAGCCACCACCTCTGCAGTGGACATTAGTCAGTAGAGTAGAGGGGCCAAGAAGAAGAGTACAGCAAGGTTGGCGAAATCTCAGGGAGATAAGGCATCAGCACCCATTTGGTGATAAATATTAGTGAAAAGCAGCAGGTGGGCATGATCCCAGAATTTAGAGGAAAATGGATTAATTGCATAGAAGTGCTATAAACTAAAACAAAACTCATTGCCCTCCATCTGTACTCTCAGCAAGAAACTGGTTTTGTTCAAAAGAAACAAAACTCTTACAAACTGGATCTCTTAGATCAATACTTGATGCGATATGTTAGTGTTGATTACCTGACTTTAAAAGATGCTGACAAAGATGACAGAGGGTGATGAACTGGCAGCCTTTTAGATAAGAAGTAGTTGAAGGAGCAGAGGGAGTGTGGCCTGGAGAAAATGCGTACTGGGATCATGCGTGCCATCCTTCATGACGCCAAGGGCATTTCTTGAGTGTTTCCCAGTGTGCTCACACCGCACTGCCATTCATCCTCTCACTTAGCCCTCATAGCAGGGCTGTAGAGTGTCGTCTTATCGTCTGTATTTTATAGCTGGGGAAACCCAGGCTCAGAGACAGATAAGGACATGCCCCTAATCCACTTGAGACCAGTCTCTAAGCCAAGTCTAAGGCTGTGTTTTTACCCATTGTGCAAGTATGATTAGCCTTGTTCTGTGTGGTCTTAAGGAATAGAGCCAGGATAAGTGGACAGAAATTAACAGATGGATTTTTGGCTCATTATAAGGAAGAACTTCTTGAACTGCCCAAGTTGGGGACAAACTACTTCAGAGGTAGTGAGTTCCTTTGTCATTAGAGGTGTTCAAGCAAATGCCAGAAAATCACTAAGTGGGGCTGTTACAGAGAAAGGTCAGGCATTGGTAAGGGCTTGAAGCTAGGGAATATTTATCTAGGCTCTAATTGAAGGAAATAGGTGTCATTTAAAAATAGGATTTTAATTTAAGTAGTAAGCTTTCTATCTTAACATTTATTCATTTTTAAAAATACACATTTGCTTTTTCATGTATTTAAAATTTAAAAACAAAGAAACTTAATTGATTGCATAGTTAACTCAGTCCTCCTAGTTATTCATGGATTGTTAAGGAAAGATTTTTTTTTTCACTTCCCAAACACCTTTACAGTTTAGAAACACTGATTCTGAAGTAGAAAATTTCCATCCCTATAGAAAAGTCAAAACTGTCCAAAAATTTTTTTTCAAAGGAGACTATAAACATTGAAAGGAATTTTTCTTAACTTGCTGGTATGACTGTGTCTCCAAAGAATTATTTTAAAATCTCCTTAATCACATCTCTCAGGTAACTCCTGCTCAGCTCTGAAGTTCATTACAATTGAATTATAGAAGTCTGAGTACTGAAGATGTATGTCATAGTTAACTTTTTTTAACAAAAAAGATTTATCCCTGTTTATTGTATGCTAGGACTGCTAGTAAGAAAGTCAGCCAGTTATAAACCTTTCCTAAAATGTTTACTTGATTTCTCCATCCTGTATAATTAGGCATTGTAAATTCCTCCTCTGCAGTGGGATTTTGGATCTTTAACATGGAATAAGAGCATCTTCCTATAAATTTTGTGCAAAAATTGCTTTAATAATTATACTGAAATCATTTTCCAAAGTGTGTACACATATACACACTGAGTTATGCTTACTGTCAGTAGGCTTGTTGCAATAAAGAAATGGCTTTTTCTTTCTTTCTTTCTTTCTTTCTTCTTTTTTTAGGAAGTTCCAGTTTAAAAGCAGCCTCAGCTCACACAGTTGGTGGTGGTAGAGAATGGCCCTGGGAAGGGGTAGGAAGAGAGTTACAAAAGTGAGGAGATAAAGGTTGTTTCTCACAGAGTGAAGCAGCTCATGAGAGGTACTGTTTGAAGTGGAGATGAGGAGGAGGTCCCTCATGCGGTTCCATGGAGGCTGCCCCTCACACTTTTTGGAGCTCTCTGTCAGGCCTTTCAGAGGAAGGCTGGCAGGCCTATGGGGAGAACTTAGGCAGCACAGTCCATGGAGGGAAGGAGTCTGTGGTCTGCCAAGGGTGAGATTGAGTATGAAGCTGAGAACTGGATAAGAGGTTTGATTCGAAGCACAGGACCTGCAGGAACAGCATAGATAACCTCATCTCTGCCTGGCGGCTTCCTTGGTGGAGAAATAGAACACATGTATCTCAATGTGGTGATCCCAAACAGCCAGTCTTTGCATAGGCACATCTATATTACAATGTTTACTTGGGGTTCAGTACTTTGACATTTCACAGCATGCTTAAAATTGGGCCCTTTTCCGAGGAACCTCATAGAAGTTTCCTTTAATCTGTCTCCCCCAAACCCATCAAGCCCCAAGCCCTATACCTAGTTCAGCTTTTTTCATCCTGGTTTTAGATGGTACCTTGAATACACTTTTTTCCCTTGAGCTGAATGTTAAGTTGTTTGTCCAGATCAATATTGACCAAGGTCTTCACTTCTCTGAAAGGCAGAATCCTTGTCTGTTTAACCTAGTCAAACTATTCTTAGCGCAGGATAAGAATAAGAAACACATCTGGTTGTTGAGCTTTATTGCTGTAGAGCGGACTGTAGTCTCGTGAAGGTGTGTCCACGGAAACTACCACTTTGAGTGGTCGCTGAGGGCGAGGTGGAGTCCCTGCTCGCCTTCTGCTGGCCTCGACCTGGTTCTGACCTCATCCGCTTGTGTCCTCCTTTCCTTGCACAGAGACAGGGCAGGGCATTGTTCATGCACTGACCGACCTCAGCAGCCCCGGCATGACCTCAGGGAACGGAAACTCTGCCTCCAGCATCACCGGCACTGCCCCCCAGAATGGTGAGAATAAACCACCACAGGCCATTGTGAAACCCCAAATCCTGACGCATGTTATCGAAGGGTTTGTGATCCAGGAGGGGGCGGAGCCTTTCCCGGTACGGACTACTTCTTTTCCCCTCTTTTTTTTTTTTTTTTTAAATAAGTATACTTTGGATGTGTATTAGAATATTTTTACATTTCCATGTAAAATTTCTAAAAATGTGAAAAAAATTGCTCTTTTCTTGCTTATTTCCCCCCAAAGGAGTGTCAGACCCATTTTCTTTATAGGCTTGTCTTCCTAAGATCCAGAAGGGGTCAGTAACTAAGAATAATTGGCATGACCCCTTTAGTTAGAAGTTTCCAGACAGACTCAGCTGTGTCCCCACCTGGTGAAGTGGGAACCCCTTGGTTAGAAGGGAGTTCACATTGGGGTGTTGGGTGCAGGATGATGTACTTTGGGAAATGAGACCTTGTTCAGGTTTGAATGCCACAACTCCCAAATGGCAACCCTTTAGCCAGTTAGAGAGCAAAGGGAACCTATATAGAAGAGAATCTTCAAGATCTATCTGCATGGAAGATAAGTGAACAGAGTTCTCGCCTGAAGATTCTTTTCTGGGGACAGAGCCTTGAAAGAGGAGTGAGTGAGCGTAAGGGGCTGTTCAGAAAGGGGCATTTCATCAAGTGTCTCAAGTTAAGCGTCATACCACAGGGAAATACAGAAGAAGCAAGAAAATGGCTCATTAGAACACAGCACCCAGCACTGATAGTGCATGTGTAATTTGGTGAGACAGGTTGCCTCCTCCGTAGGTGAGAGGGGCCCAGAGCCAGGTGCACTCCAGCCTCTCATGATAAAATTAACTGGTTGTTAGAGACACAGCATCTTCATGGGATGCCATCTGTCTTTTGTGCTTTCTTTGGATCCATGAGTGGTTTGAACAGTCAGTCAAAGCCTCTGAGCTTGATTAACTGAGATGGGTGGACTGCCCTTCTGAAATGCCAGAAGACAAAAATGCCCGGACAGGTTCTCATCTGCTTTCCCTCTGGAGGTCCATCATGGCCTGTGGCCCCTTAGCTACAAGGAACTTTAGCCCTTCACATCCCCTCCTTCATTAGACTCAGTCTTCCCTTTGGCCTCCTAGAGAAACACCAGAACCCAGCTGACCTCACAGTGTAGATGCAGACGGGGTAGCAGCCCCAGTCTCCCTCCTAGAGCTCTGGCCACCAGGCTGCCTGATCAAAAGGCAACAAAGGAGGTAAACCAAAGCGTGAATGAACCAGTCCAGGATTGGCCTTTCAGTGTGGCCCTGCATCCTCGTGTTCCTCTTCTCCTCTGTGGCTGCCTCTCCCTCTGACTTGGGTAGGGCAGTGGTAAGGGAGAGCAGTAAGGGATCCAGGAATGGTGGCCAGGACTCTTGTGTCACCTATAGACTCACACACACGCAGCCTTAGCCATGTTCCTGCCCCAAGACGTGAGGGCTAGGGCCTGGCCCTGGTTCCAGCAATGCCGGAACCTGTGCCCCTTAGACAACTTGGGAGAAGAGGTATCCTCCTGACCCTCTAAACCATCCGTCAGTCCTGGGCTGAAGCCATTTTCATCTCCGTCCTTTGGTGGCCATTGGCCTCTTGCCTCATGAGCTCAACAGCAAAACAGGCCTTGAGCAGGTGTGCCTGGATGGTGGTGGGGGGTGGCCTCTGCGCCTGGGTGCTTTATACTTGTGATTGTGATGAGGCTGAGAGCAAGGGAGCCTGCCCACCTGACCCTCACGGCCTCCCTGTCGCCTTGGCCTCTAGGTGGGACGCTCGTCCCTGCTGGTGGGGAATCTCAAGAAGAAGTATGCACAGGGGTTCTTGCCTGAGAAACTTCCGCAGCAGGACCATACCACCACCACTGACTCAGAGATGGAGGAGCCCTATCTGCAAGGTAGCGTGCCAAGACCCTGGATGCTGGGGCTTCGGGCAGGGTGGAGCAGGACATCAGCAAGGCTGGAAGGTCCTTTCCTGGTGTCCACAGAGGGTCTCAGAGCCAGAAAGTGTGTGAACATGTCGATCGACCAAACATTTCCCTCATCGTGCACTCAGCCCCGTCCCTGGAAAGCAGACAGGAGCTCCTGTCCCGGGGGAAACGTGTGTCCCCTTCCTCTCCAGCCCCGGGATCCCCGGGAGTTACTGCTGAGTTGTAGGCCAGCCGGTGCGGCCCCAGGCGAGTTGCCGCCTTCCTTCTCTGCCTCAGGGGCCTGCACTCAGGAGAGGGCCCAGTGCAGAGGCACAGTGAAGCCAGTGAGGGCTGCACTTGCCACAGAAGTCCCCGGCTAAATGGACGCGGGTGTGGTGCCTGCGAGGCTGCCATCTCCTGGGCTCTGATACCCAGGCCAGCAGCCAGCCAGACACCCCCAGGAAGGTTAGGGCGATTGCAGACCAGTGGTGACAATATTAGCACTTTCCCTCTAGAGGGTCGCCTGTTCTCTCCTGGAGTCATAAAGAGGAGGCCGCTAGTTCTTCCCCACTGTGTTTTGTCTCCTAGCCCCTAAAAGAAGAAACTGCCAGGTGTCCAGGGGACACCTAAACAGCGGGGAAAGTGGTTTGGCGCTGCTGCAGGGCATGGCTGTGAGCACACGGACAGGCTGGGCAAAGTGTGAGAGGCGCCAGGGCAGGCTGTGGGCGGTCCTGTGGGGACCACTCACTGTCTGCACTTACAAACTTTCATGCCTTTCAGAATCCAAAGAGGAGGGTACTCCCCTCAAACTCAAGTGCGAGCTCTGTGGCCGGGTGGACTTTGCCTACAAGTTCAAGCGTTCCAAGCGCTTCTGTTCCATGGCTTGTGCAAAGAGGTAAGTGCCCTCACCCCGCTGTTGTGCCCAGCCCCTCCCCTCCTCTCAGGGCTGCGCCTTGGTGCCCAGCTCCCTATTTCCGTGCCCTGCCTGGAAGCAGTGTCCTGTCACTTGTTCACCCGAGAACTCCATGAGCAGATCCGGGTAGGCAACATTAAGCCCACTTGGGAAGGAAGAGGCGTTTAGCTGTGTGGCCCTCCCGGGCAGCCCTGGCACCTGGCTCTGGCAGCTCCCATCTCCTTAGGGTTACCTAAGCCCCCACTGGAAACGTTGCCCTGAGCCACTGTACTGACTGCATTTCCTTTGTGAGCTTTCACCCGACTCAGAAGACAGATGATCACAGCAGACACCAGTGTTTATTGCGGGCCTGCCCTATGCAGGTCTCTGTGCCAAGCGTTAATGTGCATTGTGTCATCTCATCTTGAGTAACCCTGTGAGACAGGTATTGCTGTCAGGTCCTTTATACATGATAGGAAACTGAGAAACACAGGAAACTGAGGCACAAGAAGTAGTTGTGCCTAAAGTCTTTGAGCTGGAAATCTAGACATCTGACTCTTAAGTGCTGTGTGGTCCTTGTGCCAAGGTGGAAGGGCCTGAGCTCCGAAAAGAAGGGACTCTAGGCCCCCAGGCAGGGGGCCCTGCGGACAAGTTACAGTAGGGCTGTCCCAGCCTTCCTTCCCCTCGGGCTATGCTGGAGGTCCTCCTGGCACCTTTGTGATGCTTTGCCAAGCTGTCCCCCATCAGAACAGGGGACACTAGCTTCTTGGCACAGGTAACGTGTGGAATAGAATAGGGCAGCCCTGAGTTCTTACCACAGTCCAGGCAGTTGGGTCAAGCACAAGCTTGTGTGACTGCCAGACCAGTTACAGAAAGTGAGTGGTCTCGTCCCCAACTCCAGACGGGGAACTGCGCTGAGTGACTTGTCCAGACTCACACAGCCAGTCCTGGGTGATGGACTTAAGACTGGAACCAGTAGACAGACTCAGGTTTTGCCCCTTAGCTGCTGTTACTCCTCCTGGGGCCCATGGGCACCCTGCAACTGCCCTGACCTCCCTTGTTCCCCTGACTCTGGCAGGTACAATGTGGGGTGCACCAAACGAGTGGGGCTTTTCCACTCGGACCGGAGCAAGCTGCAGAAGGCAGGAGCCACTACCCACAACCGCCGTCGGGCCAGCAAAGCCAGTCTGCCGACACTTACCAAGGATACCAAGAAGCAGGTGAGAGGCCGGCAGAGCCTGGAGCTCATTCTCGCAAGTCCCCACCGCCTTCCCTTCCTAGCACAACCCTGGGTGCCCACCGTCCTTTCTGCTGTGGCGGTCAGTGCTTCATCATATTCTCATTTTTCCTGATGTGTCAAGTCAAGCCTTTCCCATGTCCCTTCGGAGAGCTCTCTTAGATCCATGGGTGCTCAAGAGGGACCCAGGGTCCCTCTTCCGTGACCTTGCCTCTGCTGACCCCATTCTCCCAGTCTGCCTCCATCCTTGATTTCTGGGGCTGCCCAAGAAGACACAGGCTGTCCCAGGTAGCTACGCCTACCTTACCTGAAGGGCTAGGGGAGAAGAAGCTAACTCACTTCATCTCCCCACCTTTTTGCTTCTCTGTGCATCAGAGCACCTTCAACTGAATCCTTGAAGGTCTCTATCAAAAACTGGATGTTCTGTTCATTAAGTATGTTTCAGCACCAGCTATGTGCCAGAAACTGTTAGGCACTAAAGCTCTGAATTGTGCTGCAAGAACTCACAGCCTAGTGTGATGCTTTAGACCGTATGTTTGTTTTGCTACTTATTGTTTGGCTCTTAAACCTCTTTAAGAATCTGATGAAAGTTATAGTTAAAAATAGACACACACAAGAAAATCTACATGCTCTTTCAGGTGGTGCACAGACCACTCCCCAAGACCCATAGAGCCCTGGTTAAAAAAACCCACATCTACGAGAAAGAATAGACCTATAATGAGATTATTGCAGTGCAGGGTGGTACGTGCACCAGTACTGGGACTCACTCTGCTTAGGATCAGAGAGAAGACGTTGCAAAAGATACTTTTTGATCTAGAATTCAAAGGTACATAGCAGCCAACCACGTAGAAAGGGGGGACTAACTGCTTTTGCCCAGCACTCTTGCTAGAGTTAGTTTACTCCCCCATCCTGAAGAAAACTGTTTCTCTCTGCTCCTAGCCAACAGGCACCGTACCCCTTTCAGTTACGGCTGCCCTGCAGCTAACACACAGCCAGGAAGATTCCAGCCGTTGCTCAGATAACTCAAGCTACGAGGAACCCTTGTCCCCCATCTCAGCCAGCTCGTCCACCTCCCGCCGGCGACAAGGCCCGCGGGACCTGGAGCTCCCTGACGTGCACATGCGGGACCTGGTGGGCATGGGCCACCACTTCCTGCCAAGTGAGCCCACCAAGTGGAACGTGGACGATGTCTATGAATTCATCCGCTCTCTGCCAGGTGAGGCCCTTGGGAGTTCCATGCCTGCCTGGAATAGCAAAGAATGAGAGGGCGTGAGAGACCTACCACCCCCAGGAGAGACTGGGCGGTTCAGTGAGAGATGCAGGTTGAGGAACAGGGCGGAGATAAGCGTGAGGAGATGCCTGCCCGCGAGCGCTTACCTTCTAGCACAGTGCCCTGACTGGTGTCCTGTGGCCTGATGCCAGCTTATCTGGGCTCTGCCAGGGGCCTGTGTGGCGATGATGACGTGACCCACCCTGTGTGTCTCCGGGGTGAGTTGGGAGGGGCGTCAGGTGGGAGTGAAGGAACGCTGTCAAGGAGAACACAGAAGGCGGACACCAAGTGGCAGTGGATGCGCAGGCTGTGCCTGATGGAGGGAGCAGCCGGGGCAGAGACACAGAAGCACGTGAGGGAGCCACAGGCTGCCCGTGACCCCGCGCATGCAGGGTCTCAGGGCGAGGATCTAGAAATGAAGCTCGAAACACAGAGCTCGCATCTGCACGGCTGCGCTCATTGAGGCCCCAAAGCTTTTCACGGTTTCTCCTGCCAGTCTCACCCAGGCTCTGGCCGGCTCGTGGCGGCCATAAGCCGGTTCACTCAGAGACTGAAGTGGACTATGGTGGTTGAGAGTGGGCTTCGGAGTTAAACAGAACTAGGCTCAAATCTTGGCTCTGCCACTTAACCCACTGTGCTCATTATCTGTTGCTGCAGCCCCACAGTTTGTCAGCACACAGGTGGTTGGGGTGGGCAGTTCTTCCACGGGCATTCTTAGGAGGCTGTGGTGTCAGCCAAGGCCGAGGCCATCTGAAGGCTCAATTGGGGCTGTTAGATCCATCCTCAGGTGCCTCACTCATGTGATTCTCAGAGAGGGGATGGCCATTGGCAAGAGGCCTCAGTCACTCTCCACATGGGTCTCTTCAGAACACTCGTGCTCTAGGATTCTCGTGATATGGCAGCCAGTTGACCCCCCAGGAGGAGATCTGAGAGAGCAAGGTGGAAGCCACCTGTTGTGCCCTTTATGATCTAGCCTCAGAAATCACATATTATCACTTCAGCAGTATCTTATTGACCACACAGGTCAACCCCATCCATTATGAAGGCTTCATGAAAACATGAAAGCAGGGGTTATTGGAGGGAGCTACTTGGAGGCCAGTTAGTATAGTTCACCCCAGTGATTCAAGTTCCTCCCTCATACAGAACACCCCCACCCCGACCCGAGGCCCCACAGGTCTCATCCCATCACAGCAGTGGTTCAAGGTCTTAAGATCTCAGCATCTGACTCGGGTCCAGGCCCAGATGAAGCTCGATGGGTCCAGCTCCTCAGGGAGGGTTCCCTCAGCCTTCACACCTGAGAATGAGGAAGGTCGTCATCTTCCCTCCACGAACCTAGGAGATGGTGGGATGGGCACAGGGTCATTGCGGTACATGTGCCTGTTGAAGAAGGGCGCACACAGGAGGCTGCAGGAGTCACCAGTCCACACCAGGCGTGTGTGGGCATTTCCTTGATAACGAGGAGTCCAAGCCTGGAATGACTTTCCTCCTCTGAGTTCCACCCTGACTCATCCTTCCTCTCCCTTGAAAGGAGGTAGCTCGTGGAGTTGTTTTCTCAGCCTACTTCCTGATGCCTTTATTTCCCATTACCTCTGACCCTTTCAGTCCAAGTGAGCAGTGTTTCTGCCAGACAAGTCTCTTCCTCTTTGTGGGCTTTTTAAATAAATCTTACCCAAAAGTGTCTTCAAGACAAGCCCTACTCCATATTAAGCTTCTTCTGAAGCTGAGGGACTGTGGCGTTAACAGTCCGAGGAGCCTGTCTGTTGAATGGAGAGACTCTGTGAGTCACGCCCATAAAATCCTGAGAGAGCATTTGATCCAGCAGTTCTCTGGGGCCGCACTTAGAGCTTTCTGCAGATTTAACAGATGATTTAAGTCACCCCCGCTGTCTCATCTTTAAACTGTTTTTTTGACTGTCCTGGATTTGGTCTTTGCCTGGAAACCTTTTTTTTTTTTCTTAGTTTATGTGCTGCTGAAACAAGCACTAGAAACCATTTCTTAATTTTAGCATCATTTGCCATCTGGAGAGGCTGAGGATTTTCAAAAGCAGCAGATCCAGGTTCTTTGCTGTTTCCCAGTTTTTCCCCTTGCATTTCCCACAGCCACGCCGGGAAGCCAGGCGGCACCTGCAGGTTCTGCCTGGGGTCCCCTGAGCTGAAGTGCTGGTTCAGTGGGAGTCTCACACTCACCAGGTCACCACCAGCAACAGTGTGGCTAAATTTTCCATTTCATACCAAGGATCCCTCTTCTTCCAGTTTCCAGTAACCATTTCCTCACTTTGCTTTAAGCCTCCCCAGCAGTCTCCTCAAAGGCCATCAGGCTTCTGCAAAGTCTCTCAGGGAACCTAGATATTCCCCTCAAAGTGACTCCCGCCCCCACCCACTGCTGCATCCCAGGCCACACCCACACTGTTAAGGGGTGGTGATGGCAGCACCCCCTCTTCCAGGTACCAAAATGTGCATTAGTTATTCACTTCTGAGAAACGTTATCCCAAGTCTAGTGGCCTTCAATAGTCATCGCATCTCAAGAGTTCTGGGGAGTGGCTTAGTGGGAACTTCTGGTTCATCTTTCAAGGGCCCCATCATGATGGCAACAGGGGTGCAGGTACCTACAGGCCTGGAGCTGGAGGAACCCCCTTCCAGCCACAGTCCCAGGGCTGTGGGGGCTGACTCTGGGCAGAAGGCCTCAGTCCCTCTCCAGGCAGGCCTCTCCAGAGTGCTGCTTGAGGGCTTTCCTGACATCGTGGCTGACTCACTCCAAAAGAGATTTATCCAAAAGACTAAGGTGAAGTGCTGTGCCCTTTATGATTCAGCCTCGGAAATCCCATGCTGTCGCTTCCCAGGGGTAGCCCTGTCCATTGAGGGGGTGGCGGGTGAACAAGTACACATGTAAACAAGGAGGCCATTGTGGAGTCTGGCTACCCTGGGTAAGTCTCTGAGCCCCTCAAGCTGTAAAGTGAGAACAGCATCAGCTTCCTTAAGGGGTGGTCGTGAAGGTCGAGTGAAGTGGGGCTTCTGAAGGGGTGACCGCGTGGAGCCCTGGTTGACACTGTCTTTGGTCACATCCCCTCAGGCTGCCAGGAAATCGCGGAGGAGTTCCGTGCCCAGGAGATCGACGGGCAAGCTCTGCTGCTGCTCAAGGAGGACCACCTGATGAGCGCTATGAACATCAAGCTGGGGCCCGCCCTCAAGATCTACGCACGCATCAGCATGCTCAAGGACTCCTAGGGCTGGCCGGGCGCCGGGGCTCCTCCTCCCGACCGAGCAGAGCCGGCGGACACTCCTGGGGGCCCAGAGCAGGGCCAGTCGAGGGAAGGGCCCCCGCTGTGGGGCGTGGCTGGGGAGGAGGTCTCGGGACCTCCTTGGTGGCTCTCAGGGGCCTTTCTTTCTGTGGGAGGGGCAGAGAGGTAGGTGGCACAGAAGATGGGGCTTTATGCTTGTAAATATTGATAGCACTGGCTTCCTCCAAAGTCCCACAACTCTAGCCCCGCTTCTCTTCCCCTCTTTCTGTCCCCCATTTTCCAGGGGGTATGTGGTCAGGGCTCCCAACCTGAGTTGGGTCACTTCCAGGGCAGCCGCCGGGCCTGGAGAGAGGCCGCGGAAGCCCTCACCTGCCTTCCTCCTCCTCTTTCTCGGGGCCCAGCTCGCTCTTCCATTGCCAGCTTCTCCCACTTCAGCTGTTACTGAAGCCGCCAGAAGGGTTCTCCCCCCTCACCCCTGCAGGTGGAGGGAGAGAAGCTGGGCCCGGTTTGGCCACACCTGCTGGTACAGACGCCTTAACGCTGTGTGTGTGACTGTGTGACTGTGTGGGAGCCTGGACTGACTGATGGGCCGAGAGCCCCCTCCCCCTGGCATCTCCAGGTGTTTTGTAGCAAACAGCCACTTAGTGCTTTGTCCTGGACTCCACTCAGCCTCGGGATGGGGAATGGGAAAAAGGGCCGCCTCGGTGCAGAGGCAGGGTCAGAAAGCGATGCAGGTTAGCAGGAGATTTTCCTTTCCAGATTGTCGTGGTGTCTCTGCAGCCCCTTCCTGCACTGTGACGCCCCCCGCCCCAGCTGCCCTGCTGCGTCACAGACGGCATTAAGGAAGCTGCCAGTGGGCTGGGCCAGGCCGAACCTCCTGGTCTTGCCTGTCCGCCCACCCCTGAGAGCCCAGTGGTGGGGCCCAGAGAACATCCAGGGCGGAAGAGCTGGAGTGACCACTGAGGTGAAGAGGGCAGCCTTCAGCCTCGGCTCCCACACTTCTGGAACTTGCTGGCAGCAGTGTGAGCTGCCCATGGAGGAGGCGGGGCAGGAAGGGTGAGGCCGGCCTGTGACCTGCCCTGCATGCTGCAGGCTCCCGGGGAAGAGTTGGACTCTTCCCCAGGGGAGGGTGGGTGCCCTTCTCAGTTCATTCTATTCCCCACTCACACCCCCAGGCAGGGTTGGAAATGAAGGACTTTTTTAACCTTTTTTGTTTTTTAAAAATAAATCCATAAAATCCATTCCTTCTGTGCCTTTCTCGCCTGGGGCTGCCTTTCTGCGATCCTGAAGAGCTACTTTTCACCTGCAAGGAGAGGGTGGGAGAGGGACGGCCGCCTGAACCAGAGGACACATCCGCCAGGCTTTGCCGCGTTTGAGGGCACACTTAGCCCCGGCTCAGATCCCACCTGTTCTTCACGGGTGTCCCTTGGGAGCGCAAGGGTCCAGGGCCCCTTCAACTCTGAGCCTCCCCGACCCGGCACTGCCACTGGGGAGACAGGACGCTGTTCGCCAGAAATACCTGGCACACGGGAGGCAGAGCCCAGAGCTCCCCACCCTCACACTGGCACCTGTGGTGGGTGCGGCTCCGTGTCCAGCACCGCCCTTGGGGTAACTCTGCCTCACTCAACAGCTGAGCATTCTTTGGATGCTGAAATAGCCAACTATTAGAAGAGTCTCTGCCTCAGGAGGCGATTGCCTAAGCCTCAAATAAAGAAGGGGCCTCCCAAGCACAGGCCAGTTATGCACTCAGTCTGTAACAGGGCCCCAGAGAGATTGATTAGCAGGGAACTTTTAAGAGCCAATACCCACATCTTGATGACAACTCTCCAGAAAACCTTTTAAGTTGTAACTACTTCCTGAAGGAAGAGGAGAAACAAACAACTTGACTAGTTGACCACCCACAGGATGGAGCTAGCACTTGGGAAGTCTGGTGTTCCAGAAGGTTGGGAATGGCTAGCAGGACAGGGGCCAGCATGGGGCCTGGGCTGAGAGCGAGTAGGGAGGGTCCCCCAGGAAGACCTCCATATTGCCCGACCCACTCCAGGGCAGGGGAGCAGGCCACTGTGGCCTATGCAGCTTGGCGAGTCCATGCTGGACCTTGACTTTTGCTTTCTGGAGGACAAAGCCAGGCCCAGCCCGAGTCTGTCCTTGTATGTGAGGTGGGAGAGGGAGCCGAAACTCCCAAAAGAGGGTATGGTGGATCTGCAGGGCTGACACAGGTAAACACCCCTGCTGTCTCTTCACTCTGAATGGAAGGCCTCAGTCTGAAGGGTGCTTCCTTCAACATATATTCGCTCCTGATCATGCCTTACACAGAATTTTGCAAAACTTGTGATCGTGACCGAAAGTTTGTTCTCCACCCTCACATATGTACTGAGATGTATGTAACTGAAGCAGAACAGAATAATACCTAATTTTCTGATAATTTTCAGTTCATGTTCATAATTTTAAAATCTTGGTCATAATCTATGAGATTGATTTCTGATGAGTCGTATTCTGCACTTGAAAAAAAAAACAACTGCCTGGTGTAAACCTTTCCAGAACCTTTCCATCTCAGTCTTGTGTTGCTCTTACCCTATCCTGGCTGACTGGTATGCACACCCTGTTTTACTGAAAAGGCCAAGGGCTCCTGGAGGTGAAGTATGCAGAGTCACAAATCAGGTACCCTTGAGTTGTGGCTGGAACTCTGCAGAACCGTGTTCTCGCTGGGTGGCAAATACGACAGAGGACCTGAAGTGGGGAGCACGAGGACCCGCCGCCCCCAGGGGAGGAAAAAGCGTCCAGACGGCATGGCTCAGTGCCTCTGGCCAACCAGAGGCACCGTACTCAGATCCACCCTCTTCCAGGTGATTGGCCCCAGGGTGGGGGGTCCTCCTGGCAGTTCATCCCACTTGGTCCTGGGGGTGTGGTTTCTGACACATGGCCTGGAACGGCTTTGTCCCAGTCACCGGGTCATTTCTTCCCTGGCTCTCGGCTGAGGTGGCTCTTGGAAGGCTGTCCCATTGCTCCTTGACATGGCTTTCAGGGAAGGATCCAGGTGAGTGGGGACACTGCCAGTGTCTGGGGAAAGATGGGGCATGACAACTGTCCTGAGAGAGTCCAGTCTGGTGGCCAGAACAGTCAAGGAGGAGGCACCAAGGCTGGCCCGCTGAGAACGAGCTGAGCCATAGAGGTCCTTGGGGGAAAGTGGCTGGAGGGACATAGTCATGGGGTACAGACGGGCCAGGGCATGAACGGGGCGGTGGGGGAAGACAGCATCCTGGGAGATCTTGTAGCCTGTGAAGTGTATGGTGACTCTGCTGCTGCCCTTAACTCTGACCCCATGGTGAACAGAGAACAGACGTTGGGGTGCACCTTCCACTGAAACAGCTCTCTATTCCCACTGGGAGTGACCATCCAGGTCTGCAAACTTACTCCCACTTAGGAACTAATTACTGATCTTTAACCACCTCCTGAATGTGAGGAGGGTCCAGGAGCCCGTGTGAGGCGGCCTTGAGAGATGGCCTCCTGCAGGTGGGAGCTGGGTGGGGGTGGGGGGGGTCCTTTTAAAATTGTCTGAGCAAGGAACTGGGAACAGTGGGTCAGGAAGATGCCTCTGTGGACTAGGGTTCCCAAGCTGGGACATAGGAGGAGGGGCTGGCAGGACCTGGTGGGTGCCTGTGGAAGGCCTAGGTGTCAGAACCCTCCCAGGACTGATGGGTAAAGCCCACCTGGACCACTTGGGGATGGCTCTGCCTGGCTGCCCTGGATGGAGGGACTGGCTTAAGAGCATGGGATGGCAGAGAAGGCTCTGCTCCAGCATTTCCTGCCCTTGCCACCCACCTCATGGTGTCCCTCCAGGGGGCAGTCTCATTTCCAAGAGCAACTGTAAAATAGCTCAATAATGTTTGTATCAATTGCATATTGAAATGATATATTGTATTAAATTATTAAAACTTCAGTTCTTTCCACTCTCTTAACATGGCTACTATTAATAGAAAATTTTAATTAACACTCCTGGCTCACACTATATTTCTATTGGGTAGTGCTGTTCCAGATTTTCTCCTACGTTTTCATAAAAGAACACAGATGTACACATCTGGGTACATTTTATAAAAGAACACATGCACAGGTGCATATGCACAGGACCCTTCCCCTCACAGAAGTGAGGTCAGCCTCTATGCACAGTTCTGTTGCTTCCTCTTCCACTGAGTCCCTTAGGCCCTGTTTTCCAGAGAGCACGTATCCACCAACCTCATCCTTTTCAATGTCTAGGCTGCTCTCCATTACATGGGGATGCATTACTCATTCATCCACCTCTCCACAGACCAACACTGGGGTGGTTTATCTCCATCTGCTTTTTCCAGCAATGCTAGGAGAACCACCTTGGCCTGCCGGCTGTGAAGTCTCATTTCTAGAAGGGGAAAGCTGGGTCTGGTGTGAGTGTGTGAAATGATTCTGTAGGCTCTGTAGGCAGAACTGAGAGAGGTGGACTTCACCCTGCAGTCACTAGAAAGGCTTAAAACCGCTTGCTCTTTCTAAATGGCTCTGTATTTTTCCTTCATTAAAAAAAGCAATAAAAGCACATTAGAGACAAGTGGGAGGAAAAATAAAGGAAAAAACCCTCCCATAACCTATTACACAGATACTTCTTCCTTTCAGTCTTCTGCTGCATGTTCTCATTGCTAGACCCGTAATCAGAGCTATCAAGTTTAGGTCTTGCTTTTTCCATTGAAGGTTTTTGTGTAAGATTTTTCCATGTGACTACAGAACCTTCACAAAAAGTTTACTTAGCTGGACACGGGGGCCTTTCCCAGTTGTATCTGAGTGGCCCGCACAATGCCTTCTACACAGGTGCTCTCCAGCTCTTGTTCAACCAAGCTCAAGTCTTCCTGTGTAAAAGAAACACACACGCCTCCATCAGTCCCAATCCCTCAACCTCTTCAGTTACCATCCTTTCTCTCTCCTTTTACAGTCAAACTTCTGGGGAGAGCCACCTGCCTCCACCTCCATTTCCTCCTCCGCTCACTCAGCGCCCCTGCCCGTCCCCAACCGTGTCCTCGGTGCTGGGCCCTGGCTCTCCTCCCTCTGCTCTGTCCAACTTCCACAGCATCCTTGCCCTCCTGGGGAGTCCCAGAACTCTCCTTAGACTGCCTACCTGCCTTCTGGGCTCCAGCTCCTTAACCCCAACCAGACTGCTGCTGCTGCTGCTGCTAAGTCGCCTCAGCCGTGTCCGACTCTGTGCGACCCCATAGACGGCAGCCCACTAGGCTCCTCTGTCCCTGGGATTCTCCAGGCAGGAACACTGGAGTGGGTTGCCATTTCCTTCTCCAATGCATGAAAGTGGAAAGTGAAAAGTGAAAGTGAAGTCGTTCAGTTATGCCTGACTCCTAGTGACCCCATGGACCGAAGCCTACCAGGCTCCTCCATTCATGGGATTTTCCAGGCAAGAGTACTGGAGTGGGTTGCCATTGCCTTCTCTCCCAACCAGACTAGTAGCCTTCATCTCCTTTCCTGGTCCCCCAGTCCTGCCCACCATACCTTGACAGCCATTCATCACCTACTCCCCCCCAACCCACTGCCAACACTGACTTGTCTTCCTGCCTCCAGGCATGCCCACTGCCTCCCACTCCATGTCCAGGCTGGAGTACTTTTCAAATAAAAATCTGGCTGCATCACTCCTTGAAGGGAAGGCCTGAAAAGGGCTCCCCAGGGCCTCAAGACAAAGTCCAAACCCCTTAGCCTAGAACGTGGGTCCTGGTTGATCTGGTTCCAGCTTATCCCCAGCCTCACCTCTCATCACTCCCCATCCACACTCCACCCACCCCTGCAGAGGACCTACAGTTCCACCTGCTTTCTAAGCTCTCTCTCACTTCCTCACTTCTACACATCACTGTTCCTTTTTCATGGATCTCCCTTTCCCCTCCACTGCCTTCTTTGCCTGGGTAACTTCCAATCCTTCAGGGACTAGCTTAAAGGGCACCTCCTCCAGAAAGCTTCCCTGACTTCCTCCCCATCTGTCCAGGCTCAGGTGCCATCCACTAGTTTGCCCTTAATGCTATCTTGTATTTACACTAATCACATCCTTTGCTATGCTGTTCCATTCCTCTCTTTGCCATCTGTCCTCTGACCTTATTCCCCTCTTTCTGGCCATCCACATCTTCCTGACCCCGCTCCTGGAAGACAAGGTCTGTGTCTTGCTCACCTCTGAATCCTTGACCTAGCTCAGTGCTCAGTTCTGAGCTTGTGACCACTAAGCATAGGCTGAATGCATGAATGAGCAGAAACTAGTGAACATCTTGATCCATAAACTTTTCCCATGCTGAAGATGGTCTCCTTTGAACGGGTTCCCAGAAGTTGCAGTGATCGGATTAAAGGGGATGACTGCTGAAAGTTTCAATTCCCACAGCTAAGGAGCTTTCCACAAAAGCTGTAGTGATTTACATCCCACCGGCAGGTGTAAGAGTGCTTATCTCGCTGTATTCTCACAGCGTGGCTATTTTCATTTCTTTCTTTTTAAAAAGTGCTCATTTTATAGGCAAAACATCCCGCCTGGTTCTAATCTGTAAGTCTTTGATTACTAGTGAGGGTGAACATCTTTCCATATGTTTGCCTACTGAATGCATTTCCCCTTTGAGGATTTCCCTGTTCATGTGATGTGGACACAGTTAAAGCAGCTGGCATTTTATGAGCTGACTCTGGGGGCTGTTCGGGGGAGGGGGAACTGGGAGCAGGGAGGTCCTGGTGGGGACGAGCAGGCAAGGTCACTGTGGGGGCTGGGGGGGATAGGAGCAGCAGAGAAGGGGGAGATCAAGGAGGCAAAGTCAACACACCCCTGAGGACTGGCAGCAGACAGTGGGCAAGGCAGAGAGAGGGGTCGGTGCACCCAGGTTTGGCTAACTGAACAGAACCATGCATCCAATGGAGATGCACGCGTGAATACGCACACACACAACTGCAAGGGGCCTCCCTGATCTGGATACACCTGCTGAGGAACAGTGCCATGGGGCAGCAGGAAAGGCAGGGGCATGAGGGTCTGAACAGGCTGCCTTCTTGGAAGAGACCAGAGGAGGCAGATTTTGGAAGGACTTTATAGGGCAGGGAGGGGAGCTGGGAGTTTGTGCTGAGAATCCTGAGGGCTTGTTCAGCAACAATAATATGAATGATAATCAACAATAGTTCAAAAAGTTTATTGAGCTGTTACTGTGTGCAAGGCCTTGTTCTAATCACTGAGCAGGTATGAACTCAGTAGCCACCGCAGCCCTCTAAGGTAGGTATTCTTATGAAGTGCATGTCTAAATGAGGAGACTCAAGTGTAGAGGCCCAGAATCTTGCCTGAGGTCAGAGAGCTAAGAAGTGGCCTGGGATTCAAACTTGGGGGTCTAGCTCCAGTGGCCAGGCTCCTCACCACAGCGGTTCAGTCTGTCTAGAGACACTGGAACCCAGCATGGGTAAGGAGAGCTTGAGGAGACCCCCCCTCATCCCCTGCCAAGGATCTTATTAAAATTCTCAACTTTCAGAGCCCTTCTGGAAAACAAGCAACTATGGACAAATCGCAAAGTCCACCTCCTTGGAGCCAGCAATGGGGTTGCTGGCTCTGCTGGAGGGAACCCACTCCATGACTGGAGCCGCCACAAACACAGTCCCCTGACTGCAGCCCGCCCCCCAGGAAGCCCAGCAACTCATCCCCAAGCCCCAGATGCTCTCAGCTCCCAGCCACAAACTTCCCTGCATCCCCTCCCAGACTCTTCCCTGTCCAAGTTCGATCCGACCCAGGCGAAGCACCCTAATGTTACTGTCCCCCAAATCTGCTGCTGGAAAAAAGCGAAAAAATTTACACACCTACATGCTCATCAGAAATGACCTGGTTAGGCAAATGATGCCATCCCAATCAAAGGCACATTAGGCAGCCGGAAAAGAGGGTGAGGAAGCTCTTCAAGAATGCAGATGGACATGATGGTCCACGGAAAATGCAAGGTAGAGAACAGCTTATCCCTGAGTGATCATTTGTGGGGGGAGAGCAGAGGAAAGGATGGAGGGAAGGAAGAAAGAATTTGCTACCATATTTATATTCGCCTGTCTATGCACACACTAGCCCCTGCAGAGGGGACTGGGTGGCTGAGAACAGGAGAGATTGCACTGTCTGCCCTCCTCTGGACCTCGCAGTGTCTGTTAATATGTTCATAATAACATTAAATCACATCATTTTTCATACATAAGTGCATATATGTGTGTGTATGTAAAAATATATACATAATGAGTTGTTGATGCCCCTTCCAGCTCAGCTGATAAAGAATCCGCCTGCAATGTAGGAGACCTCTGTTCAATTCCTCGGTCAGGAAGATCGGCTGGTGAAGGGATAGGCTACCCACTCCAGTATTCTTGGGCTTCCTTTGTGGCTCAGCTGCTAAAGAATCCACCCACAATGTGGGAGACCTGGGTTCGATCCCTGGGTTAGAAAGATTCCCTGGAGAAAGGAAAGAGAAAATACTCCCGTATTCTGGCCTGGAGAATTCCATGGACTGTATAGTCCATGGGGTCGCAAAGAGTTGGAGACAACTGAGCAACTTTCACTTTCATTCACTTTTACTCCCCATCTCCAGGGCCTGGAAGAGAATCTTCTGGCAGCTGATACTACTTGCACTTGGCGGCTTAGGGCTGCTCCGATTCGGGCTTCCTGTACTCAGGTACAACCCCTTCCCCAGCCCTCGCGATGGGATCAGCAGGGGCAGGGTCCAAGTGGCCCTTTCCGAGTGCCCTCTTGAGGGATGGGGAGTGGCGGCTGTCACGGCTGCACAAGCGTCCTCGGGGGCTCTCCCTCCTTGTAAGAAGCAAAGAGAGAGGGCTCCTGGGCAGGCTGGCCCACCCCTCACTACTGCTCCCACCCCACAGGCATCTGGAAGTCCTCATCCCCATGGGTGTCTGCCCTCCGGCCAGAACGCCCCTGCTGAGAGACAACTTCACGGGTCCCCTGCACCCGTGGTAAGAAGCCACCACCCCTCCCACTCTGAGAACACGCTACACCCTACCGAGCTCTGGCCCAGGGTCCCTGTCCTCCTCGCATCCCCAACCCCAGCAGGGCTAGGCACTCCACTCAGAGCGCCCCTCAGGTAGCACATCTCCCACTACTCTGCTGGATCTGGAATAGAGATTTCTAGGGGCAGGGCCTGGGTGGTCCTGAGGGCCCAGGACTGGGGGGGAGGGGAAATGTGGCAGTGACCATTCACCAAGCAGGTGAATGCATGAACCTGTCTCTCCCTCCCTGCCCCGGCCAGGGCCCGGCCTGAAGTCCTGACCTGTACTTCCTGGGGGGCCCCCATTATTTGGGACGGCACCTTTGACCCAGACGTGGCCCAGCAAGAGGCTGTACGGCAGAACCTCACCGTAGGTCTGACTGTCTTTGCTGTAGGCAGGTAAGGCCTGGGAGGGAAACGGTGCCATCCTAGCAGGAAGGAGTGGGGGTGCATGTGATGTAGCGAGTGGGGCACCCCATTCTCCTGGGCCATAGGATGCCAAGGAGAAGCAGAGATAGCACCCCTTGTCCCAGACCCCCATGGCAAGGGCAGACCCCCTTTCTCTTCCTTCCCCTCCTCCCTGGACACCAACACCATGAAGTCCACCCGGCACAGGGAGCCAGGAGCTCGGAATCACAACCTAGAAGGAATCTGCCCAGGGTCTGGGGCGGATCCATCCGGAGGCCTTGGGTTTTCGGTGAGAACATGGTCTTTTCAGGTTACAGGAGATGACAACAATTGGGTGATCAGAGGGGTCGGCCTGGCAGCAGAAGCGCCCATAGTCAGTGGCTCAGGTACAAGCACACAATAAGGAGAAGTGGGGGGGGTTGGCCAAGCAATTCTGATGGCAGAGGAGGGACTGGGGAGCTGAGGGCTTTTGCAAGGGAGTGAATCTGGGCTGGGTAAAGAGGGATGTGAAGAAAAGGAGATGCTGAGAATGGCAGCATCAGCAGACCAGAGGACTCTGAGGAAGGGCTGCTGGGGTTGGTATCACAGGACATGGGCTGGAAGGATGGGGGCCCCCAGAGTGGGACATGTGAAGGCTGTAACTCTGTGGGGGGGCCCAGACTGATGATGACCAAGTTGAGAGAGAGGCCATGGGGGCAGCTGACTGAGTGGGGAGGGGACAGAATCGGGACAGGAGGCCAATCGAGGACATGAGGGGCCCCCAGGTGCGGAGAAGGAGCCCCGAGTGGTAGGTGGAGAAGAAATCTCAGGGCACTGACCTTTTCATCTCCCCACTGTGGACGGCAGGCTGTCCAAGCTGGTATTCACTTTCCGGTAGTGATGCAGAGTCCTGGCTAAGAGCAGCAATCAGATCCTACAATCTAAAGGCACAGAGAGGTAGAGTTTAAGGCAATTTAAGGGAAAGTTTCTAATAATGGAACGGGCTGCTTTGGGAAGGCAGTGAGAGCTTTGCATCCAGAAAAAGATATCCAAAAGACTGGGGAAGGAATTCTGTCATCAGATACCCCAGACAACTGCTCAAGGTTCCTCCAAATCTGTCCCCCACACTCTGGAAGGGAGAGAAAGTCAGGATGGTTCCTCCAAATCTGTCCCCCACACTCTGGAAGGGAGAGAAAGTCAGGAGGGCCCCTGGAAGGCCAGGGAGCAAACAGGACAAGGGCTGACCAGGGAGCCAGGCGGGCAGAACTGTGGCCTCTCCAGGACCTTGGTGCCCCACTTCTGTTCTGGATGCTGAGTAAGGAGTTTCTCCACCAGCCTTCATAGCTCAGTTGGTAAAGAATCCGCCTGCACTGCAGGAGACCCTGGGTCAGGAAATCTGCTGGAGAAGGGATAGGCTACTCACTCCAGTATTCTTGGGTTTCCCTTGTGGCTCAGGTGGTAAAGAATCTGTCTGCAGTGCGGGAGACCTGGGTTCAATTCCTGGGTTGGGAAGATCCCCTGGAGAAGGGAAAGGCTATCCACTCCAGTATTCTGGCCTAGAGAATTCCATGGACTGTATAGCCCATGCGGTTGCAAGAGCTGGACACAACTGGAGGGATTTTCACTTTCACTTTCCACCAGCCTTAGGGACCCAAAGTCTCTGGGACCAGAAATTTCAGGGTCCTAAGTTCCAAGGTTCTACAAACCCAACGTAGGACGCTGAGGCTTCTAAGGTCTCTAATTTCAGCTTCTCCTGGTTCCACCCAGAATAGAGCAAGTACAGGTAAGGATACAGGCTCTAATGCCAAGCTGGGTTCAAATCCTGGTTTCACACTTACCAATTGTGTGTACACTTGGACAAGTTAATAAAGCTCTTTGTGACTCAGTTTCCTCACCTGAGATGGAGATAATAATGGTGAAGATTAAATGAGATAATGCACATTACTTTAAAAACTGCCACATGATTAATGTTCCAAAATATCAGGCATTATTACTATTATTTTAGGACCCCAGGATTCCAAAGTATGTTTATAGGAAGTTAACTAGTATTGCAAACATCCCAGTTACCTAGGTTTGTGGTTTGTCACCACAAACTCAGTGACAGAAAACTCATTATTACCATTGTTCACGGTCTTGTGGCTCAGGAATTCCGACAGGGCTCAGCTGCTGGGGCCCCTCCCTGCTCCCAAACGTGTAGGTCCCCACCGGGACATTAGCCTGCGGAAAACTGGAGGGCGCTTTTCTCCGTGGCTAGCTCAGCCTCTCTCACTTCGTGGCAGCCTCAGAGTGCTTAAGCAAAGGGCCAGAGCTCTAAAGAGACAAAGGCTAACGGGCCAGTCCTCCCAAGGACCAGCACAGCATCCCTGCCTTGGGATTCTACGGGCCTAGGCGGTCAGGAAGCGCCGCGTTCAAGGGCAGGGACACAGAGCCCATGGGGTCAGGGATGGCGAACAATGGCAATGATTTTTAATTCGCTTCGGACGACTCTGGGGCTGAATAGTTCTGGAGTTCCGGGGCCTGGGGTGGCAGAGTCCCAGGAAGGACATGGGGAGAGCTGGTCAGCCCGACGACTCCGCGGACTCCGGCGGGGCGCAGCGGCCGGCTGACTTGGGCCGGCCCCGCCCCGCCCGGCAGGTACCTGGAGAAGTACCTGGAGCGCTTCCTGGAGACAGCCGAGCAGCACTTCATGGTGGGCCAGCACGTGGTGTATTACGTGTTCACCGAGCGTCCGGCCGCGGTGCCCCGCCTGCCGCTGGGCCCCGGCCGCCGGCTGCGCGTGGAGCGCGTGGCGCGCGAGCGCCGCTGGCAGGACGTGTCCATGGCGCGCATGCGCGCGCTGCACGCGGCGCTGGGCGGCCGCCTGGGCCGCGAGGCGCGCTTCGTGCTCTGCATGGACGTGGACCAGCATTTCAGCGGCGCCTTCGGGCCCGAGGCGCTGGCCGAGTCGGTGGCACAGCTGCACGCCTGGCACTACCGCTGGCCCCGGCGGCTGCTGCCCTTTGAGCGCGATGCGCGCTCCGCCGCCGCGCTGGGCCCCGGCGAGGGCGACTTCTACTACCACGCGGCCGTGTTCGGGGGCAGCGTGGCAGCGCTGCGGCAGCTCACGGCGCACTGCGCGCGGGGCCTGCGGCGGGACCGCGCGCGGGGCCTGGAGGCGCGCTGGCACGACGAGAGCCACCTCAACAAGTTCTTCTGGCTGCACAAGCCCGCCAAGCTGCTATCACCAGAGTTCTGCTGGAGCCCCGACATAGGCCGACGGGCGGAGATCCGCCGGCCACGCCTGCTCTGGGCGCCCAAAGAGTATTCCTTGCTGCGTGGCTAGAGGTGCCCTGGGCCCCGGAGGTCCCAGACGCCGGTGGGGCCCCTTCTGGAAGTGGCGTGGTGCTGGAGGGGCTGGAAAGACTGCATGAAAACCTGCCTGGCTGCGGGGATGGGGGGCGAGGGGCTGGAGTAGGCCCGGCCTTGGGGGAGCGCCTCACCAAGGCGGGCGGTCCCAGGCACCACCAGCTGCCTGGAAACCTTTCACTTCTGACCTTACTGAGTTCAGCGGAGGCCCCACCCCCGAAGAGATGTCTTAGCCCCTTACTCATACCCCCCACTAAAAAAAAAAGGTGGGACTGAAGCCCAAAAAAGGAACGTAACTGTCTAAGGACCCAGAGTATCTGTGAGTCAGCCAGTGAGGTCAGCAGCTGGAGAGCCAGGACGGGCCCGCAGGCCAAATAGAGCTGCCGCTGGGCTGGAGCCCCAGATGGAGAAACACAGTGGCATCCGGTTCACCTCCCCCACCCTCCGCACGGTTTGTACATATTTAAGCAATACGATAATAAAATACATTATTCCACAGTGTCCTTGTGGCCCTTTCTCCTGGAGAATCCAAATTCATAAAAATAACATTTCCTCCCCGTGGGACCCCAACGGCTGTTCAGCCACAGTGTCTGGGAGATAAATTTCCTTATCCGTGGCTGCTGTCCAGACTCTTCATCCTCAATAGAGAAAGACACAGGTTCCGAATGGGAGCATGAAGTCATCAGGCCCTCCAGGAAAGGTGGTTCCCTCCGGGAAATAGCTGCAGAGCTGGGGAAGTTATCTGCTGGAAGTCCCGGAGATATTGTCTTAACAGCTGAAAACTAGAGGCCCGGAGAGGGTGGGATTTCCCTCCCGGTCTCCTGAACCGTTTCTGTAGTGTTCTCTTAGACCTTCAATTTTTAACAGCCTCCACTGTTTTCAGGTGGGACAACAGTTCCATAAGCCAACTCTGATGGCTTCGACACAGTAACCATTTTTTCAAACCATTTTTAGGAACATTTTATCAACACAGATGATGATGATTTCCCCTCTCCAAAGCAGTTCCTAGGTCCCAGTGTCTCCTGCCTAAACTAGATGAGCAGAACCCAGGAGGCCTTTTGGACTCTGGATTAGAGCTAAGAACAGGCCAGGTATGCCCGAGAACAGGTTATTACTTGACTACAAGTTGACATCCCTTCCCCTGGTGGGAGACTGTCCACCTTACCCTGCAGCATTCACTAAAAGCCACACAGACCAACTCTTCGGCCAGCAAAGACCTGAGGTTGGGCCAGCAAGATCTGGTTAGGAATCAACTCCTCTTCTGACTCTGTGCATGGCTGTGGACTAGTTCCTTAACCTTTGCTGAGTCTGTTTTCTCATATGTAAAGTGGGGGTGCCATCACCCTCCCTGCAGGTGTTGTGACGCCCCAAAAATAATCTGCCTTCTCCCTCTCCCTGCCTGCCGCTTCTCCAGCAAGTTCATGGAGTGCAGAGGAGTCAGCAGAGGAGAGCCATTTCCTGTTTTAAAGAGGAAGTGATGGCAGGAGTCAGGGGTTTTCTGGAGCTGGGCTGAGCAGCCTCCTGCGGTGGGTTGAGACCTTCCTGAGGAGGGGGAGGGGCCAAGGAAGCTGCAGGGGAACAGAGGGGATGATCACCTGGGAACAGAGTGAATGATCACCTGGGAACAGGTCATCCTTTGTCCCAGAGGCCCACCATGGGGGTGGGGCTGTACAGGCAGGAATAAGCTCCTTCTGCAGCTCCTTCATCAGTATCCCTGTCAATCAACACTATCCTCATCCTGCAACCCTCAAGGACCCAATAAGCTCCTGAGAGCTTCCAGGTGAGCCAGTGAAAATTAGACTCCCAGTCCCCCTAGTGTCACTGCTACATGCAAAATCTTCACCTGTCCAGCCATCCCTACTGCCATGCCAGCTCAGATGTCATCCCCCCAAATTCCCAAACATCATCAGCCCTCTAATTAGAGTTCACTGATCATAAAGGACATAGATTCATCAAGGCTACATCAAATAATAACAACAATTACATTTATTGGGTGCTTACTGTGTGCCAGGCACAGTTCTAAGCCTTAGAAATCTGTTGACTCATTCAATCCTCATATCCATCCTATAAATTGATTACTATTATTTTCCTCATATTACCCATGAGAAAATTGGGCACAGAGAGATTAACTAACTTACCTGCTGCTACACCATTAGCAACATATAAATACTGAATAAATTCACTGATGTGAGAGCAGGCAGGAAATTAGAGCTAGCCAAAAGATGGAGACAAAGTCTGGGGCTGAGGTGGCCACTGGCCCTCGGTCTCTTCTGTCCGTCTCTGCTTCTCTCTGCCTCCTTTGTCCTCCTGCTTGTCTTGGGCACAATACAGCACACCCCAACCCCACCCCGCCCCTGCCCACACAGGATTTTCCATATCAGGTGCCCACCATCTCCTAACTTGTCCCTAACTCACTGAATGGAGATTTCTGATTGGAGAGTCAGGCAGTGGTGTGCTGGCCAACGTTGAGCAAATGACTCTTGGAGGAAAACGAAAGGACAACCCGAATGAGGATTTACTGGCTTACGTAACAAGACAGTGCTGGGGTTGGGCCAGCTTCAGGGCTCCGTGATGTGTCTCCGGCTCTCCTCTTGGTTTTGTTTGGAGTCAGCTTCATCCTGGGACTCCTGCAGCAGCAGCACCAGCAGCTCCGGTTTCACAGCCTCCAGCTATCCCAGTGACTGAGGGAACCAAGAAGGCCCCTTCACACACAGCTTCCCCATGGAGGGGGGTGTCAATGTTTTGATTGCCTAGGAGGGAAATGCAGGAATTCCCCCAGAGCTTAGCAAGGCTGGCCCTGGGAGACAGAAAGTGACTCAACCATGAGTCACCATCAGGGACTGCATTCCTCTGAGCCCTCATGGTTATGGGCTGCAAGTGATGGACAGGAGAAAGGCCATTTCCCTTCCTTTCCAATTTGGGGAGGGGGGCCGCGGGGGAGGGGAGAGGAGCGTGGAAAGGTGCCCCCCGGCCCCGCCCTCGCACAGAGCACGCCACACACCGCTGCCACCCGGCTGCAGGTACAGTTTATTCTTCACAACAGAGAAATACAAAGAGCAGAGGGTTTGGGATTCCTTTGTTTCTTGCCCCCTTTAGGGTCTTCCCCCACATTTGACCTTTTTCTCCTCCCCACCCCTTTTCTTAAATAGAACGCAAACTTTGTTCCTGAAGCGCAGTGGGGGGAGCACCTGCCCTCACCTCCCTGCCACCACGATGCAGACTGAGAAGCCAACAGACTGTTTTCTCTTTTTTAATAAGGTAACTAGTTCTAAATACGGTGGCCTGGAGGTCCCATAGAAAAAAAGCAAAGGGTGTTAACAGTATGTATAACAGCGTATTTACAGGGTAGTAACATGCGGACGAAAAGCTACAATACTGAGTATCAGACGACGCAAGTCAAACAAAGGGGTGGGGGCGGGGCGGAGAACCCCGTGGGAAAAGAAACCCCGGGAGACGTTAAACTGGTAAATCAATGGCGAGTTAAGGCTTAAAAAGTGTATAAAAATAACACAGTTAATATTCAAAACGGAACTCCAGATACAGAATATATAGATGAGTTTCTGTCTAGTTTTCTTTTTTTCCCCAGGGGATGTAGAGGGGCTTCTCCGGGCTCTGTACATAGTTCCTATATACACGGACACGCATGGCTTTCAGATTGGGGTGTGTCTGTGGGGGCTGAGGGCAGGGTCTGCTCCTGGGACCCTCCTGCCCGAGGATCCCTTCCCTGCCGAGGGGCCTAGGGCCTGGGCTGGGGATCCCCCTCCATGGCAGGGAAGACAAGTAACCCCTCCTTGGGCACTGCCCTAATCGGAGGAAATTCTGCAGAGCGGAGGGGGTCCTTGCCCCAGGCCCACTCCCTCCCCCGCTGCCCACAGTCTGGGATGGTGGGAGAGGTAGCCGATAGGTTTCCTGGCCAGCACTGAGGTAGACTGGGGTGGTCTTCAGGGCAGTGGGGGCACCGGGTCTTACCCAGCCCGCCCCCACCCCGTTTCCCTGGGCCTGCGCCCAGCCCAGCCAACCCTGCGCCCTTTGGTCCTGCGGACCTCCCGGCCCCTCTCCATCTGTCTCCTGAAGCCTGGGCAGCCCTGGTAGCTGCCACGTCCCGCTGCTCAGTGATGCCCAGGGCGCAGCTCTGGAGGCTCGAGCTGGGGGGCGGGGGGGTGAGCGGCTCACTCCAGCTGCCCCCTGCCCCTCCCACCGGGGAGCCCCCTCTGCGGTCCAGACTCCCAGGCCTGTGCCTTCCCCTCAAGACCCGAGGCTGTGGCAAGAGAAGGTCCCACGCTGCCCTCTGGGTCTCTGTGTCCATCTGTCCGGTTCTTTTCATTTCTCGGTCTTAGCAGCACCAACTTCTTGGCCAATAAATATCTTTTTTTGTTATTTTCCAAAAGAAACTTAAAAACAAAACAAAACAAAACAAAAAACAGTGAAGCAAGTGAAGGATGGGGGAAGAAAAGGAAAACCCAGCGGAGAGGTTCAAAGTGCTCTGAGATCGTCTTTGGATGCCACCAAAACAGTCCAGAATCTTGCAGTTGGCCTGGCCGCCCCCGGAGCTGGACCGGGCAGGGCTTCTGAGGCCCAGGCTTTCTGGAAGGTCAGGAAGGTCATGAGAGCTCGGCTGTTCCTGGAGGGCCCCTGGAGGGAGTCGGGCCGGTGCTGCCTGGGTCTGTGTCTGCCAGTGGGCAGGGCGGGGCGGCGCCTTGGGTCGGCTCAGATGAGGGAAATTCGCACCGGGATGCTGGGGGACTCCGTCCTCTGGGGTGAGTGATGGCTCACCAGGTGCTCCACCACCGTGTGTTTGGACATGTGCTTCATCAGGTAGGTCTCCTGCGGGCAGAGGGCGAGATTCAGAACTTAGAACCAGCTGGGGGCAAGGGCGCAGGCGGAGCTGCAGTTCCTATAAGCGGCCACTGGAGGGCTCCTGGGTAGATGAGCCGGCTAGCGGTGGACAGCCACAGCTTTGGGGGCGCCAGACGGGCATCAGTATTGGTTGGAGGGATACTGCATTTCTGCCAGTGGTGGGGGCTGGCTCATTTACCAGAGCCAGAGCCCGCTGTGCGCTGACTAGAGAGCAGGCAGGCATCAGGCTCGTCCCTCAGCAGTGGCCACCTGGAACTCTCTAGGACCAGGCCATTAACCAACTGGCTACAGTGGAGTCCCGTCCGCTGGAGCACACCTGCCCCCATCTGGCTGGTGCTGCCAGTGAGGGCGGAGCAGTAGGCCTCGGGTGACCCTGGCTCTGCCGTTCCTCAGCAGTGGAACGTTGGACCAGTCATCTCACCTCTCCAAGCCTCAGTTTCCTCCTCTGCAGGCGGGGTGGGGATGGGGAAAGAAGGACTTCACAGGGTAGCTATGGTGATGAGGGTAAAGCTCTTAGCAAGCAGTAGGGCCGAGGGGACCACTGCTTCCCTAGTCTCTATATTTCATTCTAGGTGGTGATGGGAGCCCCAGCAGAAGCATCCCCAAGCTCTACCCTCCCTTGGGAAGAATTGGGGCCTGATCTGACTGGTGACTTTAGAAGCATAAACTGGGCATGCTCGGTTCATCTTTTGAGCACTGCCCCAGCCTCGGCTGAGTCTGACCTGAGGCACCCAAGACTGGGTGGGTGAGGTGACCCAAGGCTCACCTGCAGACCCACAGACCCTCACACTAAGCTGCCAAGTGGTGCTCTGGTTTCCATCTGCCACTTCTTGGCTTCCTACCTCAGTTTGCTCAACATTGGGCAGAGGAAGCCCTCATATGTGGTGACAAAGTGCTATCAAACACCATCAAAGGGAAGCAATCAGCAAAATCCACTCAAGGAGACTATGCTTCAATGAGTAAGTTGCAAAGAAGAGGCAGTGGGATCAGGGTGGGGGCAAGGAAGAATAGTTTAAAAGCTATAGTGAACCAGTACAATGTAAGAATTTTATTTGGATCTTGATTAAAAAATATAATTTATAAATAAATAAAATTATAAACCATGCCATCCATGAGACAAATGAAAGTGTGAATACCAACTGGGTATTTGATTATATTAAGGAATGTGGTCCACTGGTGAAGGGAATGGCAAACCACTTCAGTATTCTTGCCTTGAGAACCCCATGAACAGTATGAAAAGGCAAAATGTGATCGGGAAGAGGAACACATGCAAATCCATGGCTGATTCATGTCAATGTATGGCAAAAACCACTACAATATTGTAAAGTAATTAGCTTCAAACTAATAAAAATAAATGAAAAAAAAAAAAAAGAAAGGAAAGGCAAAATGATTGGACATTGAAAGATGAACTCCCCAGTTGGTAGGTGCCCAATATGCTACTGGAGATCAGTGGAAAAATAACTCCAGAAAGAATGAAGGGATGGAGGCAAAGCAAAAACAATACCCAGTTGTAGATGTGACTGGTGATAGAAGCAAGGTCCAATACTGTAAAGAGCAATATTGCATAGGAACCTGGAATATTAGGTCCAAGAATCAAGGCAAATTGGAGTAGTCAAACAGGAGATGGCAAGAGTGAATGTCAACATTCTAGGAATCAGCGAACTAAAATGGACTGGAATGGGTGAATTTAACTCAGATGGCCATTATATATCTACTACTGTGGGCAGGAATCCCTTAGAAGAAATGGAGTAGCCATCATAGTCAACAAAAGAGTCCGAAATGCAGTATGTGGATGCAGTCTCAAAAACTACAGAATGATCTCTGTTCATTTCCAAGACAAACCATTCAATATCACAGTAATCCAAGCCTATGCCCCAACCAGTAATGCTGAAGAAACTGAAGTTGAATGGTTCTATGAAGACCTACAAGACCTTTTAGAACTAACACCCAAAAAAGATGCCCTTTTCATTATAGGGGACTGGAATGCAAAAGTAGGAAGTCAAGAAACACCTGGAGTAACAGGCAAATTTGGCCTTGGAGTACAGAATGAAGCAGGG